AAATAAATAAATAAAAATAAAAATTAGCTGGTCATGGTGGTGCAGCTGTAGTCCAAACTCGTTGAACGTGTGGCCCATGGGCCACACAACCACCCAGGAAGGTTTTAAATAAGGTTCAGCACAAATTCATAAACTTTCTTAAAACTTAAAGAGATTTAGATGGGCGCAGTGGCTCATACCTGTAATCCCCACACTTGAGGAGGCTGAGGCGGGTAGATCACCAGAGTTTGGGAGTTCAAGACCAGCCTGACCAACATGAAGAAACCCTGTCTCCAAATAAATAAATAAATAAAAATAAACATTATGAGACTTTGTGTGTGTGTGTGTGATTTCATTGTTGTTATTTTCAGCTCATCAGCTCTCATTAGAGTGTTTTATGTGTGGTTTGAGACAATTCTTCCAATGTGGCCCAGGAAAGCCAAAAGATTAGATACCCCTGCTGTAGTCCAAGCTCCTCAGAAGACTGAAGGGAGAGGATCGCTTGAGCCCCAGAGTTCAAGACTGCAGTGAGCAATGATAGCACCACTGCGCTCAAGCCGTGGAGACTGCAAGAGACACTATCTTAAACAAAACAAAAACTTTAGAGCTTAGAGAAGTTAGCACTGTTGAAGTCTGTGATAATGAGTAAGTTTCAAAACTACTTTTATTGTTTGGTTTTTGAGACAGTCTTGCTCTGTTGCCAGGCTGGAGTGCAGTGGCATGATCTTGGCTCACTGCAACCTCTGCCCCTGGGCTCAAGCAATTCCCTGCCTCAGCCTCCCAAGTAGTTGGGATTACAGGTGCATGCCACCACACCTGGCTAGTTTTCATATTTTTAGTAGAGACAGGGTTTCACCATGTTGGCCAGGATGGTCTCGATCTCTGGACCTCGTGATCCCACCCACCTCAGCCTCCCAAAGTGCTGGGATTATAGGCTTGAGCCACTGCACCTGGCCACGCCTGGCTAATTAGTCTTTGTGAACCAAACTTTTTCTATGGGACTCGGGATTTAGGACAGTCTTTCTCAACCTCAGCACTGTTGACATTTGGGGATGGATCATTCTTTGTTGTGGGGTACTTTCCTGTGCATTTTAGAACACTTAGCAACATACCTGGCCTCTAATCTTTATTATTTCTTTTTTTTTTTTCCCAAATCCACAGCTGACCTGAACCTGGCTTCTAATCACTAGATGCCAGTAGCATTCTCCCTCTCGTCCCTCAGTTGTGACAACCAAACACCTCCAACCATTCATTGCCAAATGTTAGGGGAGGGAACAAAAATCCACCTGGTAGAGAACTACTAATTTATAGAGAAAGAATTGCTGATCCTAGGCCAGGTGCGGTGGCTCACACCTGTAATCCCAGCACTTTGGGAGGCCAAGGCGGGCAGATCATGAGGTCAGAAGATCAAGACCATTCAGGCCAACATGGTGAAACCTTGTCTCTACTAAAATACAAAAAATTAGCCAGATGTAGTGGCACCCGCCTGTAGTCCCAGGAGGCTGAGGCAGGGGAATCGCTTGAACCCAGGCAGCAGAGGTTGCAGTGAGCCGAGATTGTGCTAATGCGCTCCAGCTGGGTGACAGAGCAAGACTCTGTCTCAAAAAAAAATTACTAATCGTGAGGAATCAGTCTGTGTTTCGTAGAAAAGAGTCATGGCAGACTAATACATCCTTCTTGTTAAAATTCCTAGAATTGCTGGGCTCGGTGGCTCATGCCTATAATCCCAACATTTTGGGAGGCTGAGGCAGGTGGATCATGAGGTCAGGAGTTAAAGACCAGCCTAGAATGGTAGAGTGAAATAATTCCATTATTGGTATCACGTCCTCATTAAAGTTAGATGTTTGATAATCTCGCACAGTGGCTTTTTGAAGAAATGTATAGTAAATGATTAATTGGTTGAATAACCAAACCCAAAGGCTACATGTTAGCAAAATGAGTTGAAGTTCCTTTAACTGTCAACATCCAGGCAGTGGTTGTCACTCTTGGCTGCACATTGGAATGAGCTGGGGAGTGTTAAAAATATTGATGTCTGGGTCCCACTATCAGAGACTGATTTAACTGATCTGAGGCATTCCTTGGGTATCAGAATTTTTAAGCTCTACCCAGGTCGACCAAGCACAGTGGCTCATTCCTATAATCCCAGCATTCTGAGAAGCCAAAGTGTGTGAATCACTTGAGCCCAGGAGTTGGAGACTAGCCTGGACAATATGGTGACACCCCATCTCAACAAAACACACAAAAATTAGCCAATTGTGGTGGCACATGCCTGTAGTCCAAGCTACTTGGGAGGCTGAAGCCCAAGGATCAAGGTGGAGATTGCAATGAGCCAAGATCATGCCATCACACTGCAGCCTAGGTGACAGAGCAAGACCTTATCTCAAAGAAAAAGACATTAGCAGAAAAGCTTAGGAACTCCAAATAAAGTCTGTAGTTTAGTAAATAGTATTGTTCCAACTTTAATTTCTTAATTTTCATAATTATACTATAGTGTTTATATATATATATATATATATATATATATATATATATAATATATATATATATATACATAACATTAAGGAAAGCTAGCCAGGCATGGTGGTTCATGCCTGTAATCCCAGCACTTTGAGAGGCTGAGGTGGGCGGATCACAAGATCAGGGGTTCGAGACCAGGCTGACCAACATGGTGAAACCCCATCTCTACTTAAAAATACAAAAATTAGCCAGGCATCGTGGTGCACACCTGTAATTGCAGCTACTTGGGAGGCTGAGACAGGAAAATTGCTTGAACCCAGGAGGCACAGGTTGTGGTGAGCCAAGAGTGTGCCATTGCACTCCAGCCTGGGTAATGGAGTAAGACTCTGTCTCAAAAAAAAATTAAGGAAAGCTGAATGAAGAGTGTAAGAAAGCTCTTTATTACCTTTTCAACTCATCTGTAAGTTTACATTTTTTTGTTTGTTTGCTTTCACATCAGATCTCACTCTGTTGCCCAGCCTGGAGTACAGTGGTACAATCCTAGCTCACTGCAACCTCGAGCTCCTTGACTCAAGGGATCCTCCTGCCTCATCCTCCTGAGCAGCTAGGACTACAGGCACAGGCAACCAGGTCCAGCTAATTTTTTTTTTATTATCAATAGAGATGAGATCTTCCTGGTTGCCCAGGCTGGTCTCAAACTCCTGGTCTCCCAAAGTGCTGGGATTTCAGGCCTGAGCCACTGTGCCCAGCCTCCAGTATCTAATTTTAGAACATTTTTATCACCCCCAAAAGAATCCTATCAGTAGTCACTTTCCATTTCTCCCTCACCTAGCCTCCATCAACCACTAAATAATTACATAATTAATAAGCAGCCAGGCGCAGTGGCTCAAGCCTGTAATCCCAGCACTTTGGGAGGCCGAGGCGGGTGGATCACGAGATCAAGAGATCGAGACCATCCCGGTCAACATAGTGAAACCCCGTCTCTACTAAAAATACAAAAAATTAGGTGGGCATGGTGGCACGTGCCTGTAATCCCAGCTACTCAGGAGGCTGAGGCAGGAGAATTGCCTGAACCCAGGAGGCGGAAGTTGCAGTGAGCCGAGATTGCACCATCGCACTCCAGCCTGGGTAACAAGAGTGAAACTCCGTTTCAAAAAAAAAAAAGAAAAAAAAAATTAATAAGCAAATTCTGGACATTTCATATAATTGAAATCATACTACATGAGGTCTTTTGCAACTAGCTTCTCTTCGTTTTCAAGTTTCATCTACGTTATATTATGCATCAGAACTTTCTTATTGCCAAAATAATATTCCATTGTATGGCTATACCACATTATGTTTATTCATTTATCAGTTGATGGACATGTAAGTTTTTTCCACTTTTTGACTATTATGAATAATACTGCTATGTATATTTGTGTACAAGTTTAGTGTACAACTGTTTCCATTTCTCTATTATACCTGAGAGTGGAATTATAGGTACTGCCAAACTTTTCCAAAGTTGCCTCACTGTTTTCAAATCTCAACAGCAATGTATAAGAACACCAGCAACATATAAGAATACCTCAGCCTCCCAAAGTGCTGAGATTACAGGCATGAGTCACTTTGGGAGTCTGAGGTGGGCAGATCACTTCAGGTCAGGAGTTCAAGATTAGCCTGGACAACATGGTGACACCCCACCTCTACTAAAAATACAAAATTAGCCAGGTGTGGTGGCATACGCCTGTGATCCCAGCTACTAGAGAAGCTGAGGCAGGAGAATTGCTAGAACCCAGGAGGCGGAAGTTGCAGTGAGCCGAGATCCCACCATTGCACTCCAGCCTGGGTAACGAGGGAAATTCCATCTAAAAAAAAAAAAAAAAAAAAAAAAAATATATATATATATATATATATATATATATATATATATAATATCAGTTTATGGCTGGCCATGGTGGCTCACGCCTGTAATCTTACCACTTCTGGAGGCTGAGGCTGAGGTGGGCAGATCACCTGAGGTCAGGATTTCAAGACTAGTCTGTCCAACATGGTGAAACCCCATCTCTACTAAAAACCAAAAATTAGCCAGGCTTGGTGGTGCATGCCTGTAATCTCAGCTACTTAGGAGGCTGAGACAGGAGAATTGCTTGAACCTGGGAGGCAGAGGTTGCAGTGAGCCAAGAATGTGCCACTGTACTCCAGCCTGGGTGACAGAGTGAGACTCTGTCTCAAAAAAAAAAAAAAAAAAAAAGGAATACCAGTTTGGGGCCAGGCACGGTGACTCACGCCTGTAATTCCAGCACTTTGAGAGGCCAAGGCCGACAGATTGCCTGAGCTCAGGAGTTCAAGACTAGTCTGGGCAACATGGTGAAACCTTGTCTCTACTAAAACACAAAAAATTAGCCAGGCATGGTGGTGTGTGCCTGTAGTCCCAGCTACTCCAGAGTCTGAGACAGGAGAATTGCTTGAACCCAGGAGATGGAGGTTGCAGTGAGCTGAGATTGCACCGCTGCACTCCAGCCTGGGTGACAGAGTGAGAGTCTGTCTCAAATAAAAGAAAAAAAGAAAAGAATACCAGTTTTTTTGTGCTTGCTTCAGCAGTACATATACTAACATTGGAACGATATGGAGATTAGCATGGTCCCTGTGCAAAGATGACATGGAAATTCGTACAATGTTCCATATTTTTACTGGATAAGGAAAATGTGATACATCTACACCGTGGAATACTATGCAGCCATAAAAAGAAATGGATCATGTCCTTCCTTTGCAGGGACATGCATGAAGCTAGAAGCCATTATCCTTAGCAAACTAACACAGTAACAGAAAACCAAACACTGCATGTTCTCACTTATAAGTGGGAGCTGAATAATAAGAACACATGGACACAGGGAGGGGAACAACACACACTGGGGACTGTCGTTGTGGGGGGTGGGAGGAGGGAGAGCATTAGGATAAATAGCTATTGCATGCTGAGTTTAATACCTAGGAGATGGGTTGATACGTGCAGCAAACCACAATGGCATAGATTTACCTGTGTAACAAACCTGCACATCTAGTACATATACCCCAAAACTTAAACCACACATCATCAATACTTATACTTCATTTTTTTTCTTTTTTTTTGAGACGGAGTTCTCAGTTGCCCCGGCTTGAGTGCAGTGGTGTGATCGGCAACCTCTGCCTCCCAGGTTCAAGCAATTCTCCTACTTCAGCCTCCCAAGTAGCTGAGATTACAGTCATGTGCCCAGCTAATTTTGTATTTTTAGTAGAAACGGGGTTTCACCATGTTAACCAGGCTGTTCTCAAATTCCTGACCTCAGGAGATCCACTTGCCTCAGCCTCCCAAAGTGCTGGGATTACAAGCTTAAGCCACCATGCCAGGCTAATACCTTAATACCTTTTTTTTTTTTTGGAGACAGAATCTCACCCTGTCTCCAGGTGGGAGCGCTGTGGCTCAATCTTGACTCACTGCAAACTCTGCCTCCTGGGTTCAAGCGATTCTCTGGCCTTAGCCTCTGGAGTAGCAGGAATTATAGGCATGCATCACCACGCCCAGCTACTTTTTGTGTTTTTAGTAGAGACAGGGTTTCACCATGTGGCCAGGATGGTCTCCATCTCTTGACCGCCTGATCCACCTGCCTTGGCCTCCCAAAGTGCTGGGATTACAGATGTGAGCCACCTCACCCGGCAATAGTTATACTTTCTATGAGTAAAAATAAATGAGGTCTTTGAACTTAAAAAAAAAAAAAAAAAAAAAAAGAATCCCAGTTTTTCCAGATCCTGTCCAACACATATTGTTGTCAGTTTTTTTATTTTAGCTATTCTAGTGGGTATGAAGTTGTATTTCATTGTGATTTTTATTTGCATTTTCTAGATGACTAATAATGTTGAGCATCTTTTCATGTGCTTAATTGGCCATTTGTATAACTACTTTGGAGAAATGCCTACGCAAATATTTTGCCTTTTTTTTTTTTTTTTTTTTTTTTTTAATTTGAGTCAGGGCATTACTCTGTTGCTGGGGCTGGAGTGCGGTGGTGTAATCACAGCTCACTGAAGCCTCAACCTCCCAGGCCCAGGTGATTCTCCCACCGCAGGCTCCCAAATAGCTGGGACCACAGTGGCCGCCACCATGTCTGGCTAATTTTTTAAATTTATCGTAGAGACAGAGTCTCATTATGTTACCCATGCTGATCTCAAACTCCTGGACGTAAGTGATCCTCCTGCCTCAGCCTCACAAAGTGCTGGGATTGCAGGTGTGAGTCACTGCACCTGGCTCTTTTGACTATTTATTTATTTATTTATTTATTTATTTATTTATTTATTTATTTATTTCTCGAATGCTGTGCTGGGATCTTTTGCCCTTTTTTTTTTGAGATGGAGTTTCGCTCTTGTTACCCAGGCTGGAGTGCAATGGCGTGATCTCGGCTCACCGCAACCTCTGCCTCCTGGGTTCAGGCAATTCTCCTGCCTCAGCCTCCTGAGTAGCTGGGATTACAGGCACGCACCACCATGCCCAGCTAATTTTTTGTATTTTTAGTAGAGACGGGGTTTCACCATGTTGACCAGGATGATCTCGATCTCTTGATCTCATGATCCACCCACCTCGGCCTCCAAAAGTGCTGGGATTACAGGCTTGAGCCACCGCGCCTGGCCGCTTTTGCCCATTTTTAAATTGAGTTGTCTTTTTATTAAGTCATAAGAGTTCTTATATTATACATGGAACTCTTATATTATGGATATATTATTCTATGTGATTTGCAAATATTTTCTCCCATTCTATGGATTGTCTTCCACTTACTTCATGGTATCCTTTGAAGTATAAGTGTCTGATTTGGATAAAATTCAATTACCTATTTTTAGGTTTTTTGCTTCTGCTTTTCATGTTATATCTAAGAAACCATTGCATAACACACAATAATAAAGATTTACTCCTATATTTTCTTTTATAGAAAGTTAGCGGCTGAGCTCGGTGGCTCATGCCTATAATCCCATCACTTTGGGAGGCCAAGGCAGGTGGTTCACCTGAGGTCAGGAGTTTGAGACCAGCCTGGCCAACATGGTAAAACCCCATCTCTGCTAAAAATACAAAAAATTAGTCAGGCATGGTGGCAGGCGCTTGTAATCCCAGCTACTTGGGAGGCTGAGACAGGAGAATTGCTTGAACCTGGGAGGCAGAGTTGCAGTGAGCCAAGATTTCACCATTGCACTCCAGCCTAGGTGACAAGACCAAAACTCCATCTCAAAAAAAAAAAAAAAAAAAAGGTAGAAAACTCATTCTCTGCCAGTTTTATACCTGCAGGTCTTACATTTAGGTCTGTGATCTATTTTGTTGAAAACCAGCTGGGCAGGTGGGGTGGCTCACACCTGTAATCCCAGTACTTAAGGAGGCCAAGGTGGGTGGATCACCTGAGGTCAGGAGTTTGAAACCAGCCTGGCCAACCTGTTTCAACCTGGTGAAACCCTACCTCTACTAAAAACAGAAAAATTAGCTGGATGTGGTGGCAAGTGCCTGTAATCCCAGCTACTCGGGAGGCTGAGGCAGGAGACTCACTTGAACCCAGGAGGTGGAAGTTGCAGTGAGCCAAGATCAGGCTATTGCACTCCAGCCTGGGCCACAGAGCAAGACTCTGTCTCAAAAAAAAAGAAAGAAAAGAAAAGAAAATCAATTGACCACAATGGGAGTGTATGCCACTATCACACTATCTTGATTACTGTAGCTTTGTTGTATGAGGCCTTCAAATTTGTTGTTTTTCAAGAATGCTTGGACTATTCTAGTTCTATAGTGTTTCCATATGAATTTTGAGATCAGCTTCAAAAGTTTTTTCCAGAGACAAGGTCTCACTGTGTCGGCCGGTTGGAGTGCAGTGATGTGATGCTAGAGTGATCCCAGGCTCAAGTGATCCTCCCGCCTCAGCTCCCCAAATAGCTGGGCTACAAACATGAGCAACTACACTCAGCTAATTTTGTATTTTTTGTAGAGATGGGGTTTCGCCCTGTTGCCCAGGCTGGTCTCGAACCCCTAGCTCAATAGATCCACTCACCTTGGCCTCCGAAAGAGCTGGAATTACAGGCAGGAGCCACTGCACCTGGCCAGCTTGACAATTTTTACCAAAAAGATTGCTGGAGGCCGGGCGCGGTGGCTCAAGCCTGTAATCCCAGCACTTTGGGAGGCCAAGGCGGGTGGATCACGAGGTCAAGAGATCGAGACCATCCTGGTCAACATGGTGAAACCATGTCTCTACTAAAAATACAAAAAACTAGCTGGGCATGGTGGCGCGTGCCTGTAATCCCAGCTACTCAGGAGGCTGAGGCAGGAGAATTGCCTGAGCCCAGGAGGCGGAGGTTGCGGTGAGCCGAGATCGCGCCATTGCACTCCAGCCTGGGTAACAAGAGCGAAACTCCATCTCAAAAAAAAAAAAAATTACTAACAAGTACTCATGTATCCATTATCCAGGTTAGTAATAGCGTATTAGCAATTTCCTTGTGTGCCCTACCCCCATTTTCCTTTTCCTTTCTCCTTAAGAGTAACCATTATTCTATATGTTGTTCCTACTGTTCTCTTGCCTTTTTGTTTCAGTTTTCATATATATTCCCCCCAAAATAAATTGTTTTTTGGTTTTTTATTTTGCGTGTTATATCATATTAGATGTAATGCTATTCAATCAGTATTAATTTTCAAGATCCATGTTGATGCAGGTAATGGTAATTTGTTTTTTTTTTATTGCTTTCTAGTATTCCATTCTATGACTGGATCTCTATCCAATGTTCTGTCAATGGACATTTGCTTTTCTTGAGACAGTTTCGCTCTCGTTGTCCAAGCTAGAGTGCAATGGCACAATCTCGGCTCATCGCAACGTCCACCTCCCGGATTCAAGTGATTCTCTTCCTTCAGCCTCCTGAGTAGCTGGTATTACAGGCATGCACCACCACACCCAGCTAATTTTGTATTTTTAGTAGAGACGGGATTTCTCCATGTTGGTCAGGCTGGTCTCAAACTCTCAACCTCAGGTGATCTACCCACCTCAGCCTCCCAAAGTGCTGGGATTATAGGCGTGAGCTACTGTGCCTAGCTGGACATTTTTTTTTTTACAGTTTTATTTTTAAATTCATACTCTGCTAATATGAACATTCTTATTTCTATTTCCCAGTGCACATGTAGAAGTGTTTTTCGTTTTGTTTGTCCATTTTTTTGTTTGGTAGACATGGGGTTTCACCATGTTGACCAGACTGGCAGCCTGATTCTGAACTCCTGACTCAAGTGATCCACCCACCTCAGCCTCCCAAAGTGCTGGGATTATAGATGAATGCCACCATACCTGTCAAATTTTTGTAGTTTTAGGAGAGATGGGGTTTTGCCATATTGGCCAGGCTGGTCTCGAACTCCTGGCCTCAAGTGATCTGCCTGCCTCAGTCTCTCAAAGTGCTGGGATTACAAGCATGAGCCACTATACCCAGTCTTGCATACTGTGTTTAAGTAGATTTCTTGTTTTTAGATGGATTCATTGTCTTCACAGTCAAATGATGTGGAGAACTTCGTCTATAACAGGTTTCAGGAGAATAACTGTGCTTGGTTGGTTGTAATGGCTCACGCCTGTAATCCCAGCACTTTGAGAGGGTGAGGCTGGTAGATTGCCTGAAGTCAGGAGTTTGAGACCAGCCTGGCCAACATGGGGAAATCCCATCTCA